GATATTGATCTAATAAATAAACTTTACCTGGTGTTGCACTCATCCTCGCCAGACAGGCCCCTCCCAGCCCCAGCTTCCCATCTCCAGCTCCTCGAACGTTACAGATGAAAACTCGTTGCAGACGCACACACACGCACACATACATACACACACAGGCACACATACATATACACAAAGACAAACACACACAGACAACCCCTCGACAATATGCGTTTTTGCATTGCATAGCTGCAAAAAACGCATAAAAAGGACTGGTTATTCCCTAGTGGAGTCGATCCCTGTATGAGAGCTGAGCTATATCCGAAGAAAATGCACGTGTGTGGCAATGTAACGTCAGATAGCACTTCCTAGCACTAGCATCTTTTTGTATACGCAGATTAGAAACTCATTATGACAGGCCTACATTTGCACGCATGTACTTACGTACGAGTCGTTCAAGTTCAGAAATATTATATCCTCATAAGCATGGAAGTTCTGGAATTTCAATAGTTAAATTTTTAGAGTTTTGGGGAAAGCTTGACTTCTAAGCACAACTCTCGTAACCACCCAGTGGGCGCTGCAATAACTACATAAAAAATGTTTCTAGTTCCTTGTTAACTAATGCCACTCACTTATTTTCGGAAAAATTCTCCGTTAAGGTTGGAAACTCTCTAATGTCCGAGTTACATAAAAAGCGGGTTACCTAGCTGTGCAAAATACAACTGAATTAATCGAATGCACAAACCTACAGGCGCGAATGACAGTCTTGTGGCGATGGAGGTGAATCTCGGCTTCCAGCTGATTCCACAGCCGATCATGCTCGGCGCCTCGCATATCTCGGCCAAGTAGTTGGATTTGCTGAATCCTAAACTTTTTCTTGACACTCAGAAGCTCTCAGAATCGAACAATTTTCTCCTTGGCTGCTCTTAATAATTGAAAGCAATTAATCAACTTTAGAAGCCGACAAATTTGGGAGTTAAAATTTGGGAATATTATTTCCGGTAGGAGCCACAATTATGAAATCAACTTTACTAACTTGGGAAGCATAAAAAATAAATGTGACCTTACGACTTAGTATTGTGTCAACACAGTCACAACGTGTAACACAATTTTCTGATCATTATCTGTGACTGGACTGTGTATAATCAATTAACAACTCGTTCAAGTCTTTCGTAACGAGTTAGAAAAAAAATTTTTTTTAGGCTTTCTCGCATTCGCTCTCTATGGGATTGTAGCAAATTGTCGCAATGCATCGGCTCTTTGATGTGCATCGTTATCAAAACAATAATAAGATTTCTAAAGAGAACTACATTTTCAAAAGGAGGTCTAACACTTATGAAAAATTCGAAACCTTCCAGCGAGTTCCTTATCCAAATATTTGGCAGCAAGACGAGCACCGTAAACTTCATTTTGGATTGCCAGGATCATCTGCCGATATTCCTTATTGTCCTTTTTCAGCATCTCCAATTCGGCACGTATTTTCGCCGGTGGCCGCACCTCCGTCCGAAAATCAAGAATTTCCTGCTCCTACAGTATAATTTTGCTCAGTTTTGTCGAATTTTGCACGCCGCTTTGCCGTTAATAATATTAAAATAAATTTTTCCTGATACAATCCTTTAATTTTTATTACACTTTTGTGCTCTCTCCACAGTTCACTTTCCACAAGAAACTAAAGTAGTAGAAAGTTCCCCGGAAGTAATGCAATAGAAAGTACCTCAGCGGTCATCCACTGCAAAAACTGTAAAATCGATGTTTTGAGGGCTGCTTAAAAAGTAATTTGACGGTGATCTGATTCACAGCCATGAACCATGACCAAATTGCTATCAAATGAGCAGTTAAACTGAGGAGGAGCTGGATTTTTTTATGGTTTATTCAAACAATCATTTATCGAAATTGAGAAAAACTACGGTCATCAAACAGAATCTGAAAAAATTGCAAAACTTGCCGATAAGATAAACTGATGAAAATGAAATTAAATGAAATACTAAAAACATTTTTTCTTATTTTTTTAAGTCCGCGGTGAACCAAAGAGCATGCGAAACGAAATAAACTTTTAAGGAAGAAAAGCAGACCAGCTTCTTCTTGATCATGTCTGACTCGTGAGGAGCTGTTTTGGAGTGCACTTGGCAATGCAAGCTATGCACCTGAAATGACCAAGAAAACATACTATATCAGTAGGATGCTGTTCGCAAGGCAAAATTTTTTGCTTGTGTGAGCAATTTTTTAACACCTTTTACTTATCTTAATAATTTTTGCTGCCAAACAGATGGACAACTAGCTGCTTCATTCGACGAGGTTCATGTACTGAGAGAAATGAGAGTGTAAGAAGAGACAAAATGTTAAACCAATAAATTTTTTTCGAGTATCCATGCACTAATATACAGTTTTTATTTTTATTAAAACTAAAATCTCTGCCAGATCTCCGAATGAAAACCATGGGAAAGTTGTTAGATGTCTTGCAAATTCTGCCCTATCAAAAAAAGTATTTTAAGAGATGAAAAGATAAAGGAATATTTCTTCTATCATTTTCGCAGATTTCTTTTTACGCAGTGAAGATACTTTATGTTTAAAGGGCAAGTGCGAACTAAGGGACCGCAGCACGTAGTGCAGTTTTTCGCAGCAGCCCTCCCCTCCCTCCCGATCATTAAGAATTTAGTGGTGCCGAGAAATTCATGTCATAAAAAGTGAAGATGAACTTTTGTTCAGGAAACAAACATTCAACCTGGAGCATAAGCTGCTGCGACTCGCGTTCGAGCTCATACTGCGCCGCGCGCGACGAGCATAGTTCTTCTCGTAATTGCGCTATTTCAGCCTGAAAAATTCGAGGTAAAACTTCCGAAGAGGAACAGATTTCAAATTTTTGCAAATGTTCAAAGGCAGACGGAAGTCAAATTTAGCGACCTTTTTGTGCATAACGGTCAGATGCTCCCCTCGTTATCAGTCACTTGCGAGAGCAAACATTTGCTCTTAGATCGAGCACGTTCAGAGGAGTTGCCGTCAGTCAGAGAAACTTTGATGCATAGTAATCACTGGACTGTAAGGAAATCTTTGGCAACAAGATCCACTTCTAAGTGCTACTACCTCTTACAATCATCGAATATTGAGAAGGTTTTGTCTTGCAGAAGAAGGATTAAATCACTAATGGTCCCAATAACGTTGAAGAAGGAGGGGCAGTTGGGCAGTTCAGTGAGAACAGCTACCTGACTCCCTTTTCACACTTGCATTTATTCGTCGTTCAGAAGAATAATATTTGGCTAGTTAATTTTTGGCAGTGATTGTGGCACATGTTAGTAGCGGCGTTTTCTCACAATAATATTAATTAGTAAGGAAAACAGCTGTTGTCCGGCAGTTGGCCCGCACCAATTCGAAAACCAGCCGGAAAACGACAGCTGTAATTTTGCCGGAATATTTGTCATCCATCTAGAGTACACCTAAACCGAGTTTCAAAATGCACTTGCGCCACGCCCTAGAGCAAGCCAAAGTTATTTTTAACAAAATGACGATTTTAGATGCTGAATATGCTGCGAAGCTGAAACTCTGAAAGGATATTCTATAGCCACGTAAAGTTTAAATTTAGCTGAGAGGCTAAATAACTCTCTGCAGAGATATTATGCGTGCTCATTTGTCTGTCAGTTTCAAAAACGAGTTCATTATGCGTTTTTGCGCATGTGCAAAAGACGCATATCGCATATCACAACGACTCTGCATGTGCGCCTATGTTAGTTTGTGTGGGTGTGAATGTATTCGTCTGTCCAAGTATGACCTTTTTTATCCTTAACATATGTATATTCCCTTTATATTCCTTTTATTACCCGACTTTGTTTTCTTATAACGTAATCAACGATTCTTCAATATGCCCTGCCTTGTCTTATTGTCATCCACAGTCTATTATTTACCTACACATCAGTCTATACATCGGCCTGCATTCATCCTCTTCTTTTCGTTCCCCAATTTTCTCTTACCTTATATTCGCGTAACAAGTATAATTTATTATAATATTATTCAACAAGTTTATTAATTTTCTTTATCATTTTTATTATTATGAATGGCAGTGACATAATATAATCCAGGCTGGAACGCACCAGGCGGGACGATGCGATTATGCGTTTTTGCACTTTTAGTGCCGTAGCAAGACCGCAAGGAATCACGGTAGCTAACCCTAAGTCATATTGGCCCTCGAAGTTCGGGAAGTTGACTATGCATCTATGTGGCATGTCAGTTGTAGATGTCGACTCCAGTGACCCAAAAGATTGGAAGTTGCTGGTCCGCGAAAAAGGCCGCACTAGAAGAGTTAAGTTTGAAATCTTTTAGTCGCACATGAGTGGGGAACACTCCCTTAAAATTAAAGCCTTCAGCTTTTCCCGTTCCCGAGTTAGCAGTTCTCCCATCAGAATTTCCACATGGTCCGTACTTGAGTACTGGACGGTTTTAAGGAGCTGAATTTGAAACCTTTTGGTCATAAATGAGTAGGGAATATTACCCTAAAGTTTCAGCTTTCTAGCTTTTTTTGTTCCCGGGTTAGTGATTTTCGTGCCAAAATTTCCACGTACCCGCGCGTGGGCCCCGGATGCTTCTAAACACCTGATTTTGGTTTTATAAGAGTAGGGAAAATTGCCCTAAAATTTCAGCTTTCTAGCTTTTCCCGTTCCTGGGTTATTAATTTCCGCGTCAAAACTTTCACATGTAGCGTACGTGAGTCTCGGATACCTCTATACAACTGATTTCTGTTGTACATGAGTAGGGAACATTACCGTAAAATGTCAGCTTCCTAGTTTTTCCCGCTCCCGGGTTAGCAATTTTCGCGCTAAAATTCCCAAGTGCCCGCACGTGAGCCCCGAGCGGTCCTAAGGAGCTGGGTTTGAAAAGTTTTGGTCGTGCGTGAGTAGGGGACATTTCCCCAAAGTTTCAGCTTTCTAGCTTTTCTCATCCCCGAATTATGAATTTTCCCGCCGTAAATTCACGTGCTTCCGGGCAGCCCTAGGCAGCTGAATTTGAAATCTTTTTGTCATACACGAGTAGGGAACATCACCCTTGGTTTCAGCTTTTTAGCTTTTCTGGTTCCTGAGTTAGCAGTTTTCTCGTCAAAACTTTCACGTGTTTGTATGCGAGGCCCAGACGCGCGTGAGAGGTGATACCGCGGCCCTGGGGTGGCACTTGACCAGGGAACACACCAGAAAAATTTCAGCTTCAAAGCTCGCGTGATTGGCGAGATGAAAATACCCGGACAGACGAAAACACACACACATACACATTCACACACACACACATACATACACATTCACACACACACACACACATACTGACAGGGTCGTTGCAATAGGCGTTTTTGCTGCCTGTTGCAGCGCTCTAGCGCTGCACAACAAAAACGCATAATAATTATACCGATTTATTAGAACATAATTTCATGTATAACATATTATCATTATTTTTATACACAGTATTAAATTTATTATTGTTTTTACACACGAAAGTGACGTGATATAAAATTATAATCTCAAATATTATACATTATATAAAACATTATGTTTGATTCCTCTTACCTTTTACTTATGGCTTGATGTATTTTTATGTATAATTATAGCCAAACATTATAAATCACCTATTAATTTTATAGAACATTTCTGATTCTAACTTTTCTTCAAATTAGTGGATTTAGTTATGGAATCAACAAACTTTATCCGGGTAAGAACTTTCAATTATTTTTTGTAATCTGTGTAATTTATATTCTCACCTTTCCCTCCTCTTTTTATTTCCTCAACCCTTTTCATGTTTTACCTTTTTTATTACTTGCGTCAGTATCAAGTTCATATTAATTTTAACTACCTTAATTAATTTCGTCGCTACTGCCGTCGTACTGACGAGACCCAGCTGCGGTAATGACAGGAAATGCATACGACTTAATGGACCAAAACATTTCTTGCCAATTTTTTAAAATTTTTTATAAAAATAATTTTTTGAAAAAGATTTAAAAATTATAGTTCTTATCAACTTTTTTCTTTTCTTTTTTTCTTTCTTTTTTCTTTTTCTTTGTTTCATTACATTACTTTCTCTTTAATAACTGCTAGCTTTCAAGTTTCAACTCGGCAACTAACCAAGCTTAGGCGTCAAAAGTTTGCCAGTTGGTTCTTCGGCCAAGTGACACCCCAGAGCCGCGGTAACAACCCTCACGCACGCCTGGGCCTCGCGTGCGAACTTTTAAAAGCTTTGGCTAAAAAACTGCTAGCTCGGCAACGAGAAAAGCTAGAAGCTGAAGCTTTGAATTTATGTCCCCTACCCACATAGAACTCAAAGATTTCAAATTCAGCCTCTGGACGTGCGTTTTTCCCGTGTACGCTCTCGTAAGAGTTCCTGATGCGAAAACCGCTAACTTGGGAACCAGGGAAGCTAGGAGGCTGAAATTTTAAGAAGATGTTCCACGCCCACGTACAGCTTGAAGTTATCAAACTCATCCTCCAGGCATTTATGGTTCTCACATGTGGCCCCGTGAAAGTGTTTGGCTGGAAGAGCTGCTAACTCGGGATCCAAGAAAGCTGGAGAGCTAAAATTTTAAAGGGATTTCCCAGTCCACATACAACTTAAAGATTTGGAACTTAGTCCTCAGGTATGTTTCCAGGTCACGCCCGGCTCTGTGAATGTTTTGGCGGGAAACTACCAACTCGGGAAAGCTGGAAAGCTGAAATTTTGGGAGAATATTCCCCTCCAAATACAACTTAAAGGTTTCAAATTCAGCCCCCATGCATGCGTGGTTCTCGTGTATGGGCACTTAAATTTTTTGCTGGGGAAATTGCTCGTGGAACAGCTGAGTCATTTTCAAACCATTGGAAAATGACTCAGCTGTTCCACGAGCAATTTCCCCAGCAAAAAATCGCACCAGGCAGGCGCGTGCGATCATACGTTTTTGCATTAAACTTGAAGTAATTAGGTTAACTGCAAGAATGGTTATTTCTTCACACCTACCTTGTGCGCTCAATACCGTAAATCATCATAAATTTTTCATAAAAGAGAATAAACAGTTTCCGTTTAGCGGCTTAACAATTTAACAATATCCAGCCAAAAAGTTTCACGGGGCGTACGTGAGAACGATGTACGGCTGGGGGCTAAATTTGATAGGTTTGTGTTGTACGTGTGCTAGAAAAATTCCCTCAAAATTTCAGCCTCCCAACTTGCTGATCCCCGAGTTAGCTACTTTCCCGCCAAAAAATTCCGCGAGGCCTTACGTGAGAACCATGTGCGATTTGAGGCTGAATTTAATAACCTTAAGTCGCACGTGAGTTTTTCCTTTCCTTTACTTCCTTTCCTTTATGCAGCTCCTAAATTACATAAGAGCCCTTATAAATTTCGTTTCATTACAGTTGCTACTTATTCCAGTACGACTCCGTTAGCACAATTACTTCATCGAATCTTACAATTTTTCCGCAATCATTTCAAAAATTATTGCAATATTATATATATTAATAATAAAACTAGACGACATACATTTTTCAGCATTAAAAATTCATATAAGGCTATAGACTACGTTAGGAGCCATAGCACTACTACTGGACTAACCACCGCTGTTTTTTCTACACTTTTTAATAAACTTTCGCATGATAGAATTTACTGTTGTTTAAAATTTTTATGTGAGGTTTGTTTCAAAAATTCCAGACAGGACTGCATAGCTGTAGGTTATAAAACCATTTTTTACGCAGATTTCACATCTAAATTACATCACCATAAGAATTATTCTGCTGATGAGATATATTCTATGATTTATTGCGTTGTCACTGAATCGTGCTTTCCGTGCTTGTGCAAAACATTTAAACAAATGAAAGGGATACCCATGGAAGGCAATGCAAGCCCGGATATCGTTGACTTAACTTTGGCTATCTTAGAATATAAATATCCAATAATTAGCACTAACACAATTATTTATGTGTCGCTATATTGATGACGTACTTTTTACACATATAGAAAACACGAACTTCTATTTATGGTGTGGAATTGGAATTAGAAACAACAGGTAGCGGTTAACGTGGTTAACTTCTTGAATGTAACATTTCAAGTTACTAATGAAGGAGAAATAAGAACAACTTCATATAACAAGGTTAATAATGACAATTTTCCAGTTACTAGACATACATATCCAGATAGCATCGTCCACACTAATGTACATTACAATATTTTGTATAGTCAATTACTTCGGTTTTTACGAATTGAGTCTAACATAGACGGATTTATGAAAAATGCTAAAACTTTAACTGAAACTTACAAAAACCGTGGACTTGAGAATTAAAAAGTTTATAAAACGTGTCGATCTTTTTTTCCCGGTGTAGATCTGATTTTCTAAAGCATTTTTATCCAAACTCAAATAATATCAATAATTCACTATCACACATAGTCCTTAATGTCAACTGAATTAAATTACTGTACACTATCTTAAACTTTTGCTTAATAACTACCATTTGCCCACATTTTAATAAAAACTTAATTTAAACTCAGGCTGGAACGCACCAGGCGAGCCGGTGCGATCATGCGTTTTTGCATCAAACTTTGAGGTACTCCATCATTATTTCCCTGTCTTTGCCTCACCCCCCTCCACTCGCTGTTCTCGTCCCTCCCCCTTCCCCCGCACTCGCCCTGGATATCCATCTTCTCCAAGCGGTGACATTGTGCTGCATTATACAGCACTACTACAAAGCGGTATTCCGTGAGTACGGTATCGTGAGTCCAAAGCCCCTGCCGAGCGGTTTAACGCTCTTCATTTTGGGCTTATTCATGGTGTAGAGCGATCTGACGCTCTACACAGT